TGAATGTTTCCTTATGTTAGATCAGTTCCTTCTGAGTTCTATGCTTGCCAATGCTAAATTTCCTGCCAGGGCAGTAGTCTATTTTTAACATTTTGGGGGCTTAGTCTTCGTTCCAAATCTAACATGCATATTCTGTGGAGTGAAAGAGAGAAAGCTGACTGGGTGCACTTAGAAATCAGGATCGTCAGGATTTGCAATTTCTGTAGAATCAAGGATTTGAATGAGAAAGACCAATTAGAATACTTAAAAGATCATTTGTCACCACTTTAATCTTCATGTATATTTTACTCATCACTTTCTTTGACTAAAATTATTAGAATCTTTGTCATATTCATCTCAAGGCCAAATGGGAACAGTAGTGTTCATTTTATATTTTCAATATTTTGGAGTGTTGTAACATGTCATACTAGATTATAGGTGGTAGACGATGTTTTAATAGAGTTTTAGTTTGTGGTATATTGAGCATCATATCATCTCAGTGTCATTCCTTTGACTAATTCCGTATTTCATATACAAATAAAGACTGAGGGATTGATTTATTTCTGTTATTTAATAGCATTTGTTTAATTCAGAGATTAATATATCATCTTCAACCCTGAAACAGAGGCCCTCTGAAACATCAGACCCAAAAAATTGGACACGGCCTATTAGCCCAAAAGAACATGTTGCCAATTATCTCCATGTTTATTTAAATATTTAGCTCTAAAGGAAGCAATCATTCCTTTATACTTCTTTAAATTTAGTATTGACATTTTTTATTTTGGGAAAGGAGGTCCTTTTTTTTTTTAAACATGGATACAGGAAAAGAAAACTCTCCAATAAAAATATTGTCTAAAAAGTTTGTTTTGTCTGCATGATTTACTAAATATGTACAATTTCAATTCACAGCGAAGGTAACAAAGATTTAAACAGCCAACATCACAAATGTCTCAAGTTCTAAAAAAAAAAAAAATCACTGTGCACAGTTTAACAATTTAATTGAATAAAAACCAAAGCTAAGCCTTCAGTCTGAATCTTTTTTATGATGGGCACAAGCCATGTATTTTCTTTATCTTTGTTACACGATGCATATTTCAGTGACTAAACACCCCTCCCCATTTTAGTATATTAGGTTATGTCAGTACATACTTAAGGGAGGCCATAAATTGCCTCTTGGTACACCTATATGATTTGTGATGTGTTCACATATATGTCGTAATATTTATTAATATATAAAATGATCAGATGAGTCACTTGTGATTTTTTTATGCCTTGAAATGTAGGAATGTTTTGTTGTATGTGTAAATTTTTTTTTAAATTATGGAAGTGCCATTTAAAGCGATAATTATTTGACCAGTGTCCCCTTGATATAAGATGTCTAGAAAGAACTATTCTTCACTTGGAATATAGAGATTTCACATCTCTACCCAATGTAGGTTTGTAAAGTTTGCTATTATATGAATCTGAATGTTGTGGGCATTCTGATATGTTCGAGTGAATGAACCAGTTAATCATTAGAAACAAATGTCATTGAATACAGAATAGTTGAGTTACAGTTAAGGAGGGAGCCATAACCTTGGCTAACCCTATAAAATCTATAATAAGGTTGTTTTCACATATATAATTTTTTTCCCACATAAATTCTTTGGTGTTTTTCCCCCTTCTTTTTTTAGTGCTGTGATTGATGAACATGCAATATGAGATTCAAATAATTGCACTGAGCATGTTTATTTGAATAATTGTCCCATTACATAATCAAATAAATCTACCAAGTGTGTTTGTTTGAATGTTTTTACATGTACATGGGATCACATACTCAAATAAATGCAGCTGTGTTTATTACAATGTGCGGGGCTCTAGATATACACATATTTGTTTGTGTGTCTATCCAGAGACCCTCCAGTCTCTGAATGGCCCTCACACATCTTAGAGCAAAAGCGTGGTTAACAATTTTTCAGTTCAAATACATGTAAACTTATCATGGGGTAATTTCTTCAAATTTGTGACTAAGATTTCCTTTCATTAAGGCTTACACCCTTAGAAAGATAGAAAATGACCTTTTTTGGGGGGAGCAATCTGATTGTGAAAAGTATCTAATAAATTTATTCATATTTATTTAAATACAGTCCCTTCTTTTCTCCTTTCTCCAATCCTTCCCACTCCACCTTCAGTCTAATTATGCTAAAGGAGATCTATGTTTTATTTAGTTCTTGCTGAGAAATTCTGATACTCATCTCTTTTCCCAGTTATTTCAGGCCTAGGCCTAGAGTGTCATGTGAAAAAAAGAAAAGACTGCACAGATCTGCTAGAATATAAAAGACTTTGGAGAAGATGGACAGGGATGTTCAACTGTTTCAACATTTCATCACCCTCCCTTACCCCCCTATTCTAGACAAAAAGAGTTAGACTTCAAACCAAGAGTGTGGGAAGAGTCACTATTTGATAAGGGAAAAGAGAAAAATACATCTGATGTTACTAAAATGCATGTCTCTTGATTATGGAGTGGGATTTCTTGTTTTGACCTTGGAAAGGAATCTTAGGATATGTCAAACATTTTTATTTTTCCCTAAGGTTGTAAGATTATGCAGGTCTAATGCACAACGTGTTAGTAGATAAATGGCATTCAAAAAAAATCTTAAGATATGGGATATTGTAGTGATTGTCACAAATTTATGAGTGTTAACCTGATATTTTCAGACTCAGGTATTCTGAGTCCACCTATGAAATGAAGTTAGGAAAAAAAATGACAAAGAAGGGGGAGTCAGGAGGGGGAAGACAGAGTCTGCCCACTGTCCCACATGAATGTTTTCTTTTTTCCAAGGAGAAAGAGTAGGTTGCACATTCCTTGTTTTTTGGTCCTATCTCTTGTGG